TCATGCTCGGTGCGTCGTCAGTACCCTCATCGTCCGTCCAGTGTCCTGATAATTTAGTCACTAGGGTTCCGGTGTCTTCCTGCGACACAATGTAGGTCAATTGCTGTGCGCGCATACCATAAACTGTTGATCAGCCGGATTCATTCGACACATCCGTCGATGGTTTTACGAGCAGATATGTATACGACCATCTCTGGACCATCTGCCTGGGCTTGACGTTTTTTCTGCGGTTGCTATACGCGTTTAACGCGTTCACATTCGATGTGTTTCGACCAACAGAGCCATCTTTCATCTGCAGGTTCCTTGATTTATTTGAAATCGATTTTTTCACGAAGGAACCGACGGCGGTTCTTAAGTCATAAATGACAGGAAGAAGATAGAGAGTCATTTTCAGGGCTTTAGAGGCGCAAAAGATGTTCGAGAAATGCAAATAGACAACTTTATTCTTCGTTAAACTTTAAGTGGAACTTGAATAGATGGGTCATTTGTTAGTTAGCTGAATAAAAAAAAGAACAATTGCTTATAAAAAATTGATAGATGTGCAATGTGATTTGTTAAATTAAGAAACATTCTGTATTATTTACATGTGAGATTTACGTTTTTCTTCAAACGATAAACAACAACTTACGGAAAGTGAAGGCGATCAACCTCCGCAGAACTCAGCCCTTAATAGATATATGTGGGTTAATTTCCCGGACATTCCTATTATTGTAACCCACAAGTCTGTATATAACACTTTGCAGTGCAAATATAAAATAGTTCACTTTTTCCTTTCTCAACATATTGTTATTTAAAGATTCCACCTTTATGCATATAATACGGTGATCGTCCGTGCTTTATTTTAGAGGACAATCCTTTATTTCAAGTAGCTGTTCTTTAGGTTTATTAATTTTTTTTAAACTTAAGAAATCAAGGATTTTTTTTGTACATCGAATCAGTTTTAAAGAATATGTATAATTTCTGATAGAGAATTATTTTTTTTGCTCGTCGATTTTTTTGGTTGAAAACCTTTGAAAACATGTTCAAACAAACTCTTAAGGTTTTTAGATTTGTCCTTTATCTTCTTTCAGAGAATATGGTCACCGTACATATACATGATAATTTAATGTATCAGGAATATAAATACATTTCAAAGAGAAAAATATACAAAAAGAAGTTTGATTTGCAAAACAATAAACCTTGCTAATGATAAATATACTTTTATATAAATGTTCTCACGATTTGGTTTTCATACAAACACGCACTAATTAAAAATTACTTTTTAAATTAAGTGAGCTTTTTTTAAGAAACAAAATTGGAAAGAAAATGAATGAAATATGTCTTCTGAAAAATCAATTAAAGAATGAATAAAATAATCAATTAAAGAATATATTTTTTACAATTTTTTTTCTGTTAATTGTGCTTTTAAAACGGAATGGTACCGCCAGAGTTTATCGTTTTAAGCGGGACCTCGTGGGCAGCTTCCGTTTTCCACGTTCTCTACGATCTCTAGCAGACTATGCAAACAATAATCAACGGAGACAAGTGTGCACACACTTGCGTGTACTGTGCGTAGGCGTACGATAACGCACACGTGTTTGACGTCTACAAGACAGAATGTTCCCTTTTCCCATCGCGTTTGTCGCGTGAACATCTGGAACATTGGGGAGCTTGGAAACACGGAATCTCTGTTACAGGATTGACACTAAGGGAGAAACTTTTTTCGCTTTTCGAAGTTTTATCACGTCCGTCACAATAATGCGCTCATTGTGATTTCATTCAAATTCGACATGCTATACAATGACGATACAATTTCTCTTTCCTTTTGGAACAATATGATGTTGATTTAAAGTTCGTTTGCGCGCTCGCGACAGCAAAATTGCTACGATCTTGGCTCCAATTTACCGAATGCCATTGAATAGCATCAAAATGAAATTCCGCGCCTGAAATTCGAGGAAGTAATTTCTTCGCCGACAAAAAATCGGGGCAAGGAGAGGCTTCTAAAATTTCGACTGCCTCGAAATTCCTTGAAATTAAAAAAAAAGGAAGAACAGAAAAATGTAACGTTGCACCGCGTTTTGTATTTTATTCGCCGACTCGACGAAAAATAATGATTGATACAAATCGACTGCTAGTTGGCTGGCTATAGGTGTCGGTTTACCTCTTTCGCGCGCGTGTGCCAGCCGTGCGAATGCTTACACGCGCGGACATCGCGCAATCGCCGATGCATGTCCTGGCTGGTGTCCGATGCAGTTAGGACATCTCACGCTTACGCGCACGCTTTTGTACGTGCATATGCACGGGGATACGGATACCGTTCATCGAACGCATCGCATCGACGGCAGAGAGACACGGTAGACCTCTACTACTCTATACCCCCGCGATATTATCGGCCGCCTTTATATACGTGTTGCACGAACACGCGGCGGTTTATACGTATATATATATATATATATTATGTGCACTCGCGGAGAGAGACAGAGACGATGCCAAGCTTTTTGCTCGGTCAAGTCGAACGATCTCGCTGGTTCAACATGTATACGTACCATTCCGAAACGCCAACGTTCGAACCGCACGTGGAACCGCGCTCGAATTTCACTTCGGTATCGATACCTTCGATATCAAATGAATGCCGAAATTATTGCTGCTCGAGCACTTGAAATTTTTGCTTTTGTTTGAATTTTTAAAAAATTAATTGTTAAACTTTTATTCACCGTACATAAAATCTCATCATTAATCATTGATTCAAAATTTAAGCTTATTTCTTTATGTATTTTTAATGAAAGTTAATAATCAATTAAAAATTCCCAGCAAACACAGTATATAAATGTTATATACTTAAGCATGTTACATGTAACGTATATGTTAGTTGTAATTTCCTACTCATAGATGTAATATTTTTAATATTACATATATTACATTGTAGTTATATGGTCATTATATCCCAAGATAGAACTGACTTATCAATACATCAATGTGCTATTTGGTATATAATTACAATATAACTACTGTAATATATGTTATATTAAAATGTTACATCTATGAATGGGAAATTACAACTAACATGGATGTTACATGTAACATATACGTTATATTACCTGTTATATTCCGTTTTATTATAGCAATGGAACAATTATATATCGGTGTTTGCTGGGTTACAATAGGATTATAATTTAAAATTAAGGACGACGAGTATTTTAATAAAATTAACATCTTATTAAATTATATAAAATGAAAATCAATGAAACTGCCATTAATATATAAATTTAAGCTTTAAATTAAACTTAATTAAAATTAATTGATTAGTACATGGTGATATTATTTAAATGATGGCTGGACAAAGATATCTTTCATTATATGAGTTACATGTACCTAAATTAGCTTATGATTAAAATTTATTGAATTATCATCTCAAATATATCCTATGATATATTTACGTTGACCATTCGTCCTTTAATTTAGAGGATAGTCCTTTATTTCAAGTAACTGTTCTTTAGATTTATTCATTTTTTCAAAACTCAATTTTGGTTCTTTATTTTTAAAATATGTTGTTCTTTATATTACAATTTTCTCCTTTATCTTTTATTTAATGTTTTAATGTCTAATGTATAGTATTAACATGAGAATTTGTACGAAAAACAACGGAATCTATTTAAGAAATCAAAGGATTTCAATATAGTCGAATCAGTTTCCAATTATAAAAATATGTAGACTTTTGATAGTCACAGAAATATTTTTTTGCTCGTCGATCTCAACTTTGGCCGCATATTGATTTGGAAACATGTTGAAACAGAATCTAAAATTTTCATTTTTGCCTTTATTTTCTCTCAGAAAATATGGTCATCGTAGATACTATATCTGATACGTAGATAAATATGACAACAGTTTCGATAAAATTCTCATTAAATTATGATAACATATAATTAAATTATGATAACATTTTATTAAATTATATAAAGTAGAAATCAACAAAACTGCGATTCATAAATTTCGGTAAATTAAAGCTTTAAATTGAACTGAATTAAAATAAATAGATTAGTATAGGATGTAGTATAGTATAGGATGATATTATTCGAATGAGATGACTGGACAAAATGATGTCTTTCATTGTATATGAGTTACATATATCTAAATTAGCTTACGATTAAAATTGATTGAGCTGTCATCTCAAATACATCTCATGATACATCTGATGCGTAGATAAATATGACAGTCTGTATATGAAGATCTTAAAGCTCTCGCCAGCTTTTACATGAATACATCAACTAATTTAAACGGCATTGTTACGAGATCCCATGAACACGAGCTACCAAACGAGTGACACGACGCGATCGTGTAAATTGGAATGACTATTGAATGGCTATTTAGAACGGGATCTGATAAAGAGAATTACAAGTGTTCTTCTGTCGCATACATTTTATCCTTTTATAAGACAAACAGGTAGTCCCTGCATTATGGAATCGGTGGTAAGGACGAGTCTGGTCTCGTGATCAGTAAGGGTATCAAATACTACATCGATAAATATTAAATTAGACGCGAGAACTAGTACTTTCTCATTCGATATTCGAGCGAATTTCACGTGCTCTTAATTCCATTCGCTACGAAATTTCTGAATATTCTCTTGAAACAATGGTCTTTATATTGTAATTATTAAATTACACATTTTAAATGCACTTCTTAGCAGATTTACACTTCTCATTTCTCATTAAATTGCAATATAGTAATTTGTATTAATAAATGTATATATTTTATAATTAATATATTTCTCAACATGGATTTATTTCAAAGATATATTACTATATTACGTTCTATATTATTTTATATTATAATAAAAATATATAAATAACACACACACACACACACACACACACACACACACATATATATAATTTATTATTATATTATTACAAATATAAAATTAATATTTAATCACATACTTGAAAAAACCAGCAGTAAGCAAACTTACATAGTATTTTCGCTTATATCTTTTATGTCATTATTTTATTTGCGATCTCTTTCAGGGAACAGACAATAGCTCGAAAATGGGGTTGGAACGACGGCGCAACAAACTGAGCGAGACGTCGATGAAGTAAATCAGCTTAGAATCCGTGAAGAAGATGATGACTGCCATGGCCCGGTTGCCTTGCAAGCAATCATCCTCGCCCTCGCAGCAGCCGAGAGTGAACAATTTCGGAAACAGCCGGAATCCTTACTGGGACATGCAGCAGGCTAGGCATCCTGCACCACCGTACGTCAGAAATCATCATCGGCATGCCGATCATACAGGTGAAAATCAAGCGAATGCATTGCGAATCGCATCGCGAATTGATGCGTCAGGGACTGTTAACGCGTGCATTTGAAAAAGAAAGAAGAAGAATAAATTTATGCCATGCATTTCGAATCCTTTCCAAGTCTTGTCAGATGCAACGAATTTCTATTTTATAAATTTACTAGCGAATGACTGGCGAATATGTAGGTATGCTGATCTGTTGTAGAAAAGAATCGAATCTAAACGGAATGTAAAATTAATAATAGAAAATAATAGAAGATATATACAGAATAATGCACGATATAATTAAGTATCATTGTATAGATAATATAATTTTGAATTATTGCGTGATTGCGAATTAACTTGATCGTTTGTTAGGATGAAAAGTCAATCACTATGTGTATTGTGATTTCGCGTGTTCTAATTTTAATATTCTATTCGATTACTGATTCAAATATATAGGTCACTTTTTAAGCGATCATTCGCTAATAAATCTAGGAGATAAAAATTCGTCTGTGAAAAAAAATTTACGAAATGCGTGCGTAAATTTTTCTTAGAATTACGAGTGCATATATTTGAATAAAAAATTGTCCGTTCCATTTTTGAAGCTTCTGCGACAATTCGGCTTATCTTCGTCATTAACGTCCCATTGTGCGAGACCGTGTCACGTTCGATTAAGGACGAGCGCCGATAGTCATAGTCCGATAGCCTCGTTTCGACAATTTATAGCGAATGTAATGCCGCGATTCGACTCAACAAATTCAACATTGCGATACCGTGTCGTCACATATATGTATTCCGCAATTATGACCTATATGATCCGAGAAATAGACATTAATTTTCTCTAATCACAGTATAAAGTCTGAACGTTTAACGCAAAGGGAAAAGTAAATATACTTTGCGTTCCTCTATAAAAAAATACTTGCAAGAAAAAAAGTCCTGAAACCTACGTCATCATTTATCTCTTAAATCGCGTAATTACTACAGGCTTATTGCATTTGAAATTATTGAATACATTACAAAGATAGATGGATAGATAAGATGGCTATTCTCTCTCTTGCCGAGAAACTTATTATAAATTAATTGAAATTCTCATGTTAAGATTCTTCTTTACGTTTAAAGTTAATATATTGAAGCTTCCGCATCTGCGAGTCAGTTGAAAAGAATAAGTCGTGCCTACACATCAAACGCTGGAAAGTTCATTGCTTTTTACGTTCCCTCGTCGATTGCGCCATATGTACCACATTATAATATGTGGCCTTGACGTCGCGCTTCTGTCGTCCGGGCTCTTTATCATCGCCATGCGTCCCCCGCTATTATCGCAGTCGGCGGTTGTCTTTCCCCGAAGAGAGAAACACGTGTGTCGGAGAAGAGGAAAGGGTTTTATCCGACATTTTCCACGGAGACATGTGCGGTGCGTGTCGGTGGCACATGTCGTCAATCAGTGGCGAAGCGAACGCGATGCGAGGGAGCTCACCACCAGAAGGAGAACGCGCAGATGCTGCCGTTCATCCGTTAACACTTGCCCTCTGCCGCTTAACCGAGCGCTCGTATCTTTGCACGCGTTCGACGAGATGCTTACATATACGTGTTGTCGTTGTCGCACGATGACGCGATCGGTGGACGATGCCACGAGTAACAGAGGGGACGCGACGCGAGATGAAAAGAAAAATAAAACATGTGCCTCTTTTCCATGAGTACAGAAGTGGCCGCTATTCACTTCCTGTATACCCCATTGACGAGATCAATCTATAATAAAATTAAAAAAAAAACGACAATTGTCAGGCTGCGATAAAAATAATGATCGCACGAAAAAAGGAATGTGCACTTATTGATTAAATTTATTTAAAGTTTTTTATTTCGAAGAGAAAATGCACGCTTTATTCCGATATTCTGTAAAAATACGAATTTGATTAGTGATTTATTATATGTATAAAATAGAATATTTTTCTATTTAAAAAAAAATTTATTATTTAATACAGCAATATCATTTTTTCCCGTGAAGATTCTTTCTACATATTGTCAGTTTTTATTGAGAATATCCGGTTTGCGAACCTACACGAAATTGGCCCAATTGCCAATTACTATAAGTAAGATTATACGAAAGCGCTCTAATTGGCAGTAAGATTCTATTTCGTATGCAAGTGCTCCGTTCATGTGTATCCTACATTAGCACTTTACTACACTTCTTAATAAGAGCATCGAATTGAATATTAAACAGTTATATTTATGAGTTTCTATAAGCGATTGTCTTTTGAGACTTTCTCAACATTTTCTCTTTATTACAAATATAAGAATAAGTAAAAATGAGATAACAAATTTTAAAATAAGACATTTTGCATCAAATTTTTATTGAAATAAATTAAATATTCTAATAATAAAATATGATACTTCTGTGACATTCGATGGACTTAAAATAAAAATATCAGAGATCAAAGACTTGTGGTTGGAAGTTAATATTCTACAAAGATAGCGATCGCTTTCATAAATTTAGCAGCTAGGTGAAATTTGTTTTTGCACACATGATCTCACTCGAAAGTGATATATATTTCCTATCCTTTTTTTCAAGAAGCAGATTAATTACGTTGAAATATGTCGTTTATGTCTTAACGGGTTTTTCCATCTGCATATGTGCCACAGGGAAGCGGAAGAGCGCTGTGGAATTGCTGCAGGAGACGAAAGCCTTTTATGTGAAGAGCGAGACCGTGCTGGATCGGAAGCAGGAGTTGAAAAACAGCGGCCACCTACAGGTTTCCCAGCTGAGCGCTCCCGGCGCACCGCCTCCCAGATTACTGCGAAAATGCACCGGCAACTCGTCCGTCTGTTCGATGCAGCCGACGTCGCCGTCGCAGTTGCAGGCAACCCCCTTGACGCCGCCCTGCTGCTGGGCTTCGTGTCACGAACAGGACAGACGTAAGTCGCTGGAGAGATCCCGTAAGCTCAGGGGATACACAAGTGTGATCCGGCAACATGTATGCTGTCAATAATCCAGTCGGGGCGAGACTACACCTCGAAATTTATCCCCTTGCGAGAGAAACCGAACATTTGTTCTACTTTATTATTACAAGTATTATCACAATTTTATATACACATCACACATCTTGGCTGTACATATAAAATATATATATATATATATATATATATATATATATATATAATATATAATTATAATATAATGTAATATTATAATTTAATGTATGATATAATATATTATAATTATAATATATATATAATAAAATATAATAATAATAATATAATAATAATAATAATAATAATAATAATAATAATAATAATATATAGACAAAAGATAAGTAAAACTGATTGTGAGTAATTCTACTTATAACATATAATTAACGTTCTAATAGCAAGATTAAGAAATTAAAAAAAATAGAGTTTATCGGTTTTTAAAAAAAGATTTATGTATAAATACTTTATTATTACTTATATATATATATATATATATCTCCGATGACCTGTATATATATACGAGTTCTATTTAAATGTAACAAATCATCATGAAAGGTTGCTATTTTGCATAGTAGACGGGATTTTGAGTCCTCAACAAACACTGCCACCCGCGCTGCCACCGAAAAGTCCACGTTTGGTTCCGGTTCCACAGAGACGGACGATTTCAGGGCCCCGAGCAGTACCGGAGGCGATCAATTGCAAACAAAGCTGCGGCGGCTATTAAACACCGACAGCAAGGAGAACGTATTCTTTCCGGACAGTCCGCCGCAGAGTACGACACAAAGTAACGGCGTGTCCGTAACGCGAGAAGAAAAATTTCGATACTCACCTGGAAGTCTCTCGCCTGGCTGTCGAGACGAAGATCGTATATTGGTAAGAAGTTGCACTACCTTTGCCTTACGTTGAAATATAATCGCTTATAACAATTATTTATATTATTTATTTATCTGCTTTATTAAAAAAATTTATACATATTTATCGACAAAGGACTGGTTGTAACGTTATATATTATTCGTTTTGCAGCATTGCGCGCCGCAGGATGTCCGTTTCAAGTTCGGCAGAAGCAACTCGCACTCGCACACTTCCGGAAGATCCGGTCGCAAGTCAAATAGCTCCCCGTCGGTGGAGAATACGATATGTCACAAGTCTTTGCCGGATCTCCACACAAGTACGCGTCGTCGGGCGTCTCTCTCACCTCGCGCATCCACGAAATTATCGGCGAAACCGTCTGCCCATCACCAAGCTACTAACACGAGCAATTGTCCGGATTACGAGACTAGTTCGGATTATTCAGATCACAGTTTTAAGCGTGACGCCGTTTGCTATCGCAGGTAGATAATTTAATTTGTAAATCCTTATTATATCATTACATTGTGTCTAATTTCAAAGGAACAGTCAGTTTCAAAAAATAAAATAATTAATAAATTAATTTCTCATTGAGTTTTAGCTCCCGTCATATTAGGCGATCTTTGGGATCTGGCGGTGGTGATGCAAGCAGTGTGTTATCTTCAGGTGGACGAACGCAGAAATCATCGGGCTCCAGTAAGTTGAGCCACGGCGCGACAGCCAGAGACTCTGGTGGTTCCTCTGGACACTGTACTCATCGCAGCGAACCAGCACCTAGAATACAGGTACAAATATATACATAATACTATACATATAATGCAAGACTGTTCAACTTTAATTGTCAATTTCTTCCCAGGATTGTTGGACTCATATCCGTAGAGATAGTGGAGCATCTACGCAACATTCCACCGAGAAAGACCGATCGAGGAAAGGCAGTTACATTGGTGGTACACTGCCACCGGTTGTAAGACACTATAGTCCGGATTCTGAAAGTAGCAATAGTCAAACAGACTATAGTCCGACCTGTAATTCGAGGTATTCATACATCTTTTATTTTCGTACTTATTTAATATATTTAATAATAATAATGATACATTTATAAAATACTTACCGGAATGATCTGAAAATTATATATCATATAATTTTCTATCATTATATTATTCATAACGTTTTTATATATTAGGTTTTCTGATGGTTGGAAGGAAGGTCGCGGTCGACCGATTCTAAGATCAAAATCGGATATCAGTGATCGATATTGGCGTCAGGATAATGGTCGTTCCAGCAAAGTATCATCCCGTCCTCCGCGATCGATGACTCAACTCGAGAATTTCTTCGACCGTTTAGGATTGGATTCGGATAACTATCAGCGTATCACGGAACCCGACTCCAAGTCATCGTCGCCCATATTCTTCGACAGCGTCAGCTCCGTAGATTCGGCATTGGGTCTCTATTCTTGGGTCAGCAATAATCAGACAAGTCAGAGTAACCAGTGGCAAAATAACTGCAGCATCGGTATGGGTAACGACGAGTGTAATCAAAGGGTAAACGATCCGCCGAGTATCGTCGAGCGAAACGCGCGTATTATCAAATGGCTTTGCCAGTGTCGTAAAGTGCAGTTAGGATACAGCTAAACAACGAGTTTCTCAACGTGGGTAAATCTTTCATTTTCCAATAACAATATATATTCGAATCTCAACGATGTAGCGCGGTTTTTGCCATTCTACAAATGATATATCGGATACTCCGCATTTCATGCATTTTTCGTAAATGTGGAATTGATTAACGCTTCTTATCCTTCTTTTATTATTTAACGATATAATTTAACGGTTTTTGTCAATCCTCTATTAGCTGTTTGTAAGAATATAATTATTGTTTTAATTTATTGTGCTTAATGATAGATGAATCTGTGCCATTTTATAATTAATTGTTATGATTATATGTTGTGCCTTCCTTCAAACTGTGGTTATAAATTCAGGGTAAAGTTTTCGGAATGTATTTAACGTGATATGCGGGTTATCGCACATTAATTTTTATATTAAAATCTATATACAAATTTTTTCGTGATGTCTAATATTTTTGTGAAGGTACATTGAAAAGTGTTTGCTTATATATAATATTTTTCTCGGAAATTCGTTATTAGGTTTTAACATTATTGACCTTGTAATTAGTCTATAATATGTTATGCGAATATTTTTCCTATTTAAAAAGCAAAGCAATATTAGATTATTACAAGACATTAATAAAATTGTGCATAAGAGAGAGAGAGAGAGAGAGAGAGAGAGAGGGAGAGAGAGAGAAAGAAATAAATTTGGAATTTATTACATTTTAATATAAAAAAGATATAAATTTGATGACGTATATGTGCTCTCCTCATTTTCGATCTTGAAAATGATGACTTGATTTAGTAGAAAAAGTACTTGGATGAAAGATATTTACCTCGATTTTATGAGAACATATAGATTTAATTTCATAAAAGAAGATTTAAAAATGTTGCCTTTATATATATAACTCTCGGTAGTTTCTATAAAAACATTTAAATGAAATAAGCGTTCAATTGATGTTAATATTTCATGAAATTTAGAAGATGATTAATGAGTTATACAAATAACTTGATGTTAAACAATAGACGAAAGAATGAATTCCAATTTTGTAGTTTAGTAGAAATTGATGTGATTTACATTAAATGATGTATAAAATGAAAACACTCATTTAAAACATTGTTCTATTTTAATAATAATCTACAAAAGTTTGTGCTAACTTCACTATATTAAGCTTTATGCTCATCAATTTTTATTTTACTATTATACAACATAAATCGTACAAAAAAATATAGTAAATATATACATATATTTTTAAATTTACTTGAAAAATCTAATAATACGCTATCTTTACAAAAACTGCGTGGACTCTATAAGTTGCAGAACTTATATGAATTTTAAGATAAATTAAATTTCAATTTTATTTTTCAATGTGCATAGAAATTTATTATTGTACTTACCATGTAAATATATAATGCGGACTTTGATTTGATAAAATCAATGAAATAACTAATTTAGCAATGTTTGATTATGGTAATCAGCTTTTTATATTTTGTGTTTCGAAAATTGCGCGTAGCTGTTATATTTTAATAACGAATTAAATTCTATATTTGTACTGGTAGAGAGTTGTACTTATAATTTCTTGGTTATTTAATTTTTATGGTAAATATTTAATCGCGCATATAATTAATATGTGATGGCAATGCTTTTTGTATAATATTTCACATTCGTGCATCTTTAAACTATCCTGATTGAATATCAATGTATTGAACTGTAGAATTTATATATTACAATTATATCTTAAGAATAAGAAAATTTGTCGGTCTGCATTGCCTGTTTCTTATTTTAAGAATACTTACTTTTTACCTACCATGTAATCAGACAAATAATTTTTTTCACACAATCCATTTAGAATTTAATTAATGCTTTCTTTTGATTTAGTTCTCCCTACCCTAGTGTAGGAAATTTGGATGTTTACAACAAGATGTTACATGATTCACATATATATTCTTATAACGCGATTTGTGTAATATAAAATAAAATTATTCGTACTTCTCTCATTTCAGGTGATATAGATGTTTTAAATGTATAATCAACAATTTTTGCATAAAATATGATATAGCATTTTAACAAAACGGAGAAAAATCGATATTATACATCATCTCTATATAATAAAATATTAGATTCTTTTCATGCAAAAACAATTATACTTTAAAGAATCTTTGGGATGTCTCAGGCACCCTATATCGACTACAAAGATTAGAGAGGCTAAACTAAAAACTAAATAGATTTATTTTAGTCTTGAAGCGAATATATTTTTTAATTATAAATGATTCAAAATTGTAAAATTTTAGTATGTAATTAAATTTGAGATTTTTAGTAAAAATTTAATTATCAAAATATTGGTTATTAAAAATTAAGAAATTATGTAAAGAGACGGCATCAAATTAATTTCGCCAAAGAGTCTACAACTGGAAGCAAATTTGTGGTGCCCGAGATATTATGTATAAGGCATTAGATATTGGCGTAATATAATTAGTGTTTGTTATATGCAATTTCTGAGGATACATAAAAAATTTATAAAGTTTATAATCGCTGCTGTAGTAATCAATTGCAAAGCGTTATTATATATAAAATTAGGCATATGCGACAAATATATGCTTGTAGCGTGTAAGTGTGTGTGTGTGTGTGAGTGATGTGTGCGGTCGTGTGTGCATGTATGTGTGTGTGTAATAATATATACATTATAATTTTGAAGTCATATAATTTTATTTTTCACACGAAAAGAAATATTTAGATGTAATACACACATTACATATGTTGTGGATTTGTACACACTTTAGGATTAATATTGTGGAGCTGAAAATATTGGAATTGGATTCACACAAAACGTGATATTGAAGATTATGTTAGATTAATTAGAATTAGTTTTGATATAGATATTAACTTGCATAATAGCTTTCAGGATATACTTGTTCTATAAATTGCTATTATCTTAAATTTTAAGAAAGATATTTGAGAACAATAAAGTTAGTACAGAGCTAAATTTCGCTTCACATCAAGTCGAAAGAAAGAAAGAGAGTGAGAGAGTGAGAGAAATATAGTATTATATATATATATATATATAATATATAATTATATATATATATATATATATATATATATATATATATATATATAATACAATAATATATGATTAAAAAATACTTATACAGATATTAATAATGTGACATTATATATACGTATATGCGCATTAATTAATCGATTGAAAAAAAAATTATATGGTTCTTTTTGTATATTCTCAATGTTTATGGCTACACATATGTTTTATATAAAAAAATTAGTCATTTTCTTATTTTATAATATTTTAAAATAGTATCTGTGCACTTTGTTGTTTACAGAGTATATTTTACGAATTGTTGCAGTTTCTTTACAATGCGTTCTTTTTATATCTATATAAAGAATCTCGAAGAGAAGAGAGTAAGAATATCCAAACAAGTATACTTCACGTATTAGAGGCATTTGGAGAAAAATAATAATTGAAGGAATTTATATATGATAAGACATTTAACTTTTATCGTGATTCTCCTTATCTTTCTCAAGCGTGTCTGTTATATACCTATTATATCTCCATGTTACAAATTATTATAAAAATTCTTTTATATTTCTTGTCATACCAAGGCTCAAATAATTTTGTATATGTATAGGAGCAAGATAAATTATTGTGACTTTTTGTCAACTTAAAGAAAAGAACTTAAAGAATGCACACTTACATTGTGACATTTCAATGTACATCTATTATAACATTTTGTGATGCATATTTAATATTGTTAAATCACATAAATTTTTAATTGCTTTTATAATCTAGTCATGTAGAACAAAATATGTTAAACTTCAAGATAATATTAAAAATTCCTTCTATATATTCTCGAATCTTTTATTCACCTCTACTTCTCCTTTTATATTATATTTTCTACAATAAATTATACAATTATTATTATTTATATTTTGCGCACTCGAATTATCATTTTTTAATTTTTAATATAATTGTATTATATATAATTAATAATATATATATTCTGATACTTTGTAAATTTTTAAATTTAAATTTGAAAGATTGGCTTTTTATAGTTTCAGCTTATTAAAAGATTTGTGAAAATTTTTGACAATGTTCTGACTATATATATAAATATAAAATCGATTATTCTATGATCCCTAATTCTAAATTTTTTCTTATATATATTTTAAATTAATATTTTTTTCTAATTCTTTTTTCAATTCACTATTTAATTTTGTCACACGTGACTATGTTAGAGTGAGAAAAGAGAAAATAAATAAAAGACAATGATATTTTCATTAAATATTGCGGAAAAATCAAATTTATTTTATTGTTAGAAAATAGAGAAAATCATTTTTATAAACTGCTTTGCAATATATTCGCATTTTTTTTCCAATATTTAACAATCACGATGTACGGAATATCTAGATGCATCAATTCTTGATGCGAGTTCGCGTATAAAGAAGATATACCTGTCTTGTGTATATAGTTTATGGTCACGTTGTGCGAGGTGGTGTAGTGTCATTGTGCGTGCTAGCGGTAGTGATGTGGAACTTTTCAATAGAGAATAAAATATGACGGAAATCAGACCGTTTACGAATCTTTTATTTCCTCTGGTCGTCACAATTATCTGTATAATAACGCAATGCTTGGCCGCCCTGTCCGACAAACAATTATGTTACGACCCAGCTTGTTCGGGTAATTGAAGCCATACTTTAGCCTTAAAACCCATAACACATTTTTCAATCTCCCTATTCCGTCGTATATATATTGTAACTAATGCGATTTATTTTTTTTCTGTTATTTAGAACCCATTTCGTTAGCCAAAACAATACTTGTTTACACATCAAATGATCATGAAATAATGTCATTTGGTGTTAATGTAGATGTCAAGGTTTTTAGTAAAAGTGCTGGAAAAAGGACAGATTTATGGGGTGTCGAGGTATATACACTTATTTTATATTTAACATTATTAGGCTAATTATGAAAAAAATATTATCGAAAAGTAGTATTTTCATATTTCAAAACTCTTTTAAAATATCTGTACTACAATGATATACCATCGCTATTGTTTAAACCTTTGATTTATTCTTCATAAGGATATATTTTTCTTATATACTAATTTTTATTTTAGATAAATGGCAAACGTGGATTTGCACCCAAGCAATTCCTAAAAGAATATAAAATCCTGCAACCTAAATTGCAACATGAAGTGCCTGTTTATAAGTTTAATGATGAAGTTCAGCCTGAGAAATTTGAATCAACAACAGAAAAAATCCATAAATCACATCCTTTGTTGAAAAATAAGTTGCTCCCAAATAATGATGAAGCAGCGCCAAGATCAGTAAAATCCACAGATGAAAACATTGTACAGGACTCACAAGCGATTAATGTAGATAGCATATTCTCTCATTATGAAGTGATAGATGGTACTACAGTTTATTTGGATAATGAACCATCTATACAACCTAATTTTGTGGCTGAAGTTGCGCATGCTACTGCATTGCTAGATGAACAAGCTTCAACTGATTCTAAAATAAATTCTGATTATAAGGAATCATCTGATACGAATACATTCTTCAATAAGAAATTACAGGCAGACGAAAATGATGCTAGTAGTAAACTTAAAGATATTGAACTTCTAGATATGCATCAAGAGACAACTACTGAGATACTGTTAGAGAGTTCAGAAGCAATAATCAATTCAACTTTAGATACAGAGAGCAAAGATGACACTCTAATACTTAATGGAGGAAGTAAATCTGAAGATAAATCATCTAAAAATTTGGAACATGAAAAATCAAATAAAATTGAGGTGGATAGTAGTGCTGAAGAAAATATAGAAGATAGTGATGAGGAAATAAAGGAAAGTGAAGGTATATTTGCCTCTTTTACAAAAACATTTCAAATTTTATCTAGTTCACAAGATAGTGCAACAACAGAGAGTACTATTCAAAATGATAATGACATACCTGTTTCCAAAGTTGAGGAAGATTTACAATTAAAACAGGTTTCAGAAGAAGTTGAAATTAGAGATACTGTAACTGAGAACCATGTTTCAACTATTCAGACAGAATTGGATGCAAGCGTAGATTCAAGTCTTATAAATAAAGAAAAGATAGAAATACAGCAAGAAATTATATACGAGAATACTGAGAGTGCAAAAGTTTTGAATGGCAAGATGAAGAAAGAAGAAGAAGAAGCAGCATCTACTATTCCTTTGGAAAACTCTACATCTTTTAGTGACGTGCCTTCATCCAATAATTTTGTACATGAAGATGCTTCTAAGCCTGCCAAAGAATTGCCAACTTCAATTGTAGTGGATGATAGTTCTACAACTTCTGTTAAAAATGATATTAATAGCCTTGACAAAAATTTTCAAAAGGAAATAAATGAGAAAGAACAAGATAGGTCTAATCAAGATATAGTTGATTCTGTTGAAGAAAACTCAACAATCTCATCTGATTTGAAAGAAACTGCAATCACAGAAAGCACTTCTATTCAAAGCAGTAATGACATTGAACAAAAACCATCAGAAAGTAAAATACATCTAGAAAATACAAAGGAAGATGTTAGTCACAAAGAAACAATTGTCCAAGTTACAACTGATTATACATTTTCAGAAACTATTAACTTATCACCTATTATGGAAACAACTGCTAAGGAAGATATAAAAGAACCATTTTCTGAAAGCCATACTGTTGCAGAAAATATAGACGAGGCATTAAATCATAGTGCTGATATTTCAGTTACTGAAGATTTTATTGTAGATAGCAATGTAAATAAAAATGATAATTTAATTAATGATGCTAGCTCGGACAATGTTCCTATAGAAACTAATGAATTTTCTAATGGTGTAACACCTGGCATTCTTGATTCAGAGCAATCTCTAGATTCTAGTCAAAAAAACATTCCAAATCAAATAACGAATTTCAACCAAGTTCTGCAGAATCAAGATTTATCGAATGTTGGAGAAGATTTGGAGCATGAAAAAGATGAGTTTGTCAGGTCTGTAAAAGAAGAAGAAACCTTACCTGAATATGATGATTACATAAACAGTGAAAATAAGGTTTTGTACGAAGATGAAGATATTAAAGAGAATAATAATTTAGAGAAATCAGAATCGAAATCTATATCAGATGAAATAGAAGGTATTACAATTATTTTACTAATATCTAGTAATATCTAGTGCTTTCAAAAGTATAATTACACATTTTTTAAATTGTTCAGATAAAGTATGCTCACTTGATGATGATTGCACCGAGACAACAACTGAGTTTCTGGAGCAAGTAAGTCTTAAAAAAAATATTTTTATAATAATTATATATATTTTTGTCATTATAACATGATTTTCTACAATAGAAAGAAGAGTTGGAAACTGAAGAAGATAATTTAATGGCCATGATAAAATTGGATCATAATTATTGGAAAACATTAATGTTTCTATGTGTAACAGCCATTACAGTACTTGTATTTACTCTTGGATATTATTATATTGAGGTAATAATATATACTGCTTTATTTGTAGTGCTCGAAACACTAGTATAACTGAAATTTATAAATTAAAAAAAATTATTCCAAGTATAAAAAAATAGTATTTAAAACTTATTAATTATGAATAACTTATTCTCTATTACCATTTTTTTATCAATTTATACAAAACATTTAATATGAAAATATACAACTTTATTGTGTTACATTTTTTTAGAATATAAAAAGAGATAGAGAACTCATAGCAAGAATTAATACACTTGAGAAAGAGCAGTCCGATTTAACTTTCTACATAGAATCTATCCAACAAAAGGTGAGCAGTATGCATGTGCAGATTGATTTTTCGTATATTTATATTCTATTATATTTTCTTTTGTCATTATTCAAATGCAAATTTATGTGTTACACTTCATTAAAATATAAATATTTTAGTTACTTTCCACACAATATGACTCATTTCATTCTGAAGACATGGCTACATCGCTAAAAGCTGATTTAGCAGTGTCACAGGTATATGCTCAAGTATTTTTCGTTTTTTATTATATGTCAATTTGAATTGAAAATCTCGCATATTCTATATACAATGTGTTTCTCTGTTGCAGAATGAAAAAACAAGATTGGAGGAACAGGTGACTGTGTTGGAGAAAGATTTAGAAAATGCAACGGAGGCTGGATTAGAACTCGAGCGTATGCTAAGAGAAGTTTTATCGTCCAATAATGAAATTAATCCGCTAGCTCAATCCGTGGAGGATTTACAAGCACGATTAGACGCTCAACAAACCGCAAACGAATCCTTAACGAACGCGTTAAATATTAAAGCTCAAGAGGTCAGAGCAATCTTTTCGTATATTATCTGTCTGATATTAAGTTAATTTTTATTTAATTTGATTTTCAATGTAGAACGGCATTAATTTTTTTGTTTTGCTATTTTCTCATGCAGCATGAATTTGATAAGTTGGAGGTTTGTTAATATATATTTTAACGCGTGAATGGACGTTTTAAAGATTATTATATTTTAGTATACATTTACTTTTTTGATTTTATTTTACATTTATTTTATATCTCATATCTACTCACTTATTATTTTATCAATTTTTTAACAAATGATTCTTACATAATTAAATATGTATAAAATATTTAATTAAGATTTATATTTTATTACAGATTGAGACTTTATCAGCAGATTATGCCTCTGCTCAGAAGAAATGTGAGGAATATGAAGTAGAATTTTCGCGAATTCAAGACGAGCTGACCACTTTGAGAAATGCTAAGAATAATATAGAAGAAACATTAACAGATAAAGTACATAATTTAGAAGAACAATTAGATGAAGTAAGTTTGCAATTTCATATTTTTTAAATAAAATATATTTTTAAATATATATATATAACTTGTTATTTCTTTTTAGTTGTTTATCGAAAAATCATCATTATATAAAGAGGTGAAGGGGAAAGAAATAGAAGTTAAGGAATTAATGGAAATCATTGATCAGATCAAATCAAATAATTTGGACTTGGAAAAATTGTACGATGTATTTCACATTAAAATTGATGCACTACAACTGCGTGAGGAGAGAGACGAATTAAAGATACGATTAAGTGATGTTGAAGGTGCTCATCAGTTATTAGAAGGTGTTTTTTTTAAATATAAGAAATCTTGAAATAGTCGACCAAAAATGATATTTCTGTAATTAAATTAAATTAATAAAATAATATTTTTAAATATTGCAGAACATATGAAACTTGTTAAGGAAGAGATAACTGCATTAAGTGATCAATGTAAAATAGCTGAAAAAGAGAAGAAAGAAGCAGAAACACGGCTTGAAGTATTATCAAGGTTTTTCAAAGAAAAAGAAATTGAACGCCAAAAGTAAGCAATTGATTAGTCTTAATAAAAATGGTTTGACACTTGGACAATTATTAATACTGTAATTATTTTAGGGAAGAAGCTATGTGGCTACAGAAACAAGGGGAAGTTGTATCGACGGTCGAAAGGATACATACAATGCAAAATGAAATACAAAATTATAAGTAAGCATATAATTTGATAAATTTAATAATTAATTTAATAATATGAAAAAAAAATTTAATTTATGAAAATTTCTTTACAATATTTAGAGTAAGTTAGAATATTCTTAGATGTGTCTGTGATTATAAGAATTTTTGTTTAGTAAATATATAAACTACAATTAATTTATCACGAGAAATTTTATTTCAGGCAACAGATAGAAATCTTAAAACGAGAGATTGTGGATCAGGAGAGAGAATATAAAACTCAGATATCTGCTCTGGAAACGAAAGCACATGAACAATGGGTAATGTATCTTATTATATATGTACATTATTTATTTATGTATATAATTATATATAATATTATTTATTATTATTATATATAATAAATATATACATAATATAAAAAATAATGTATACATATGTATATGCTACTGAAAAATTTATGCAAGACTTTATATATTTTATAAGGTTGCTGCCCGTCAAAATGAGCGCCGTTTGGAAGAATCGAAAGCAGAGGCTGGTCAATTACGTAATCGTCTTACACTAGTAGAGAAAAATTTAAATCTAAACGATGATCCTGAAGTAAAGCTACATCGTAAGTATTTTTATATTTTAAAATATTTATTATATAACATATTTAGCAAAAAAAGAGTTTAACAATTAACTTTTTAGCTTGGATTTTATACATATAAAATTGATCTTTGATCATTATCATAGTAACATTTTTTTTATTTTGTTTTATAGACGTATTACTTTTTGTGTATAAGCAAATAACTTATAAGGATTTCGTAGAAACTATAATTGTGTAGAATAATGTTGCAATTCGTAGAATAAAATTACCTAGTTTCTTAGCAAGTAGTAATTCAAATCAATGTAATAATGTCATAGATATATAATTAGCGCGTCAGAGAAATGTGTTTAGGCTCACATCTACAGACAATGGATCGCGCAAGATATTACGCATCAGAACTGCTACAAGTTGGTAGATTTTTTATTTTCGTAAACTGCTTTTCAAACAGGCTTGGAAGCGAACGGGGAAACGGTGACTTCGCCGTCATTATTCCTAGGAGCAGAATCGTCCAGTTCTCCAGTAATGTTTAGCGGTTCCTCGGGCGTCCCTCCACCGCCGCCGCCTTCCTATCTGCACTGCTTCCCGCCGTATCTGCCACCCTTGCCGCCCACCACTTCCGGTCTACCTCCGTACGATATCAGTCAGCGTCCTCCGCCTCTCGGCGGTAGATTATCGTCACCTCCGCCGATGCCGCCGCCGCCGTTGCCTCCACAGCTCACTTCCGGTGGCAGGTACGAGAACGCCGGTTCCCCGCCGCCACCGATGTCTCCGCCGCATTTACTTCCAGCGTTTAATCATCACAGATCGCCACCGCCTCTTCCATTCGGTGGCGATCGCATCCCACCTCTTCCTCCACCCGGCTTTCCTCCGCCTCATGGAACGACGCATCCTTGGGGGGAGGATTCACTGCTGCCCCCACGCAATTCTGGTTTTCATCCCCATCAACGAGAGCAACGTGCGCGCAATCACAAAGGTTTGTGGAAATAGTATGTGATACGCAAAGCGACAAAGCGTTCTCATTGGGTTTTATCATAGTATTAATCAGATTCATTTCTTTCTTCCTGCAAGTTCAGGAAGTAGTTTGTTTGTTACTATCATCTGTTCTTTTTATTTTGATTTTTATGCATGCAAGGACGCAAGCATTTCTCTAAAGTGAAAAAGTTTTGGAGTACTATGGAAGGAAATAATGTCAAATAGCCCTGTCAGGTCAAAGAGCTTAATCAATTTTAATTTATAACGATACACACAATGTATGTGTGTCTTCAATTCTCTAATATTTTTTGTAATATACTTAAAGTTTTCACAGAATCTTTGGGTTTTTATAATTTTTTAAATTTATTTTTACTCTGCATTTTTTAAATTATAGTATAGATATATTTTTTTACTTATATATATTAATGTAATTGAAACTTATATTAAACAAATATATTTTTTAGTTTATTGAAATTTTTTTTTTAAATTTCAGGTTCCTTACATTCATCGGGAGAATCACTAGATAAAGCACATCATGGAAAAATTTAATTTTTGTACCTTGTTATTCTGAATACACTTGTACAAAGGCCAAATCGAATCACTGTATCAGTGACAGTCTTATTGTATAACAATTTCAAATAAATATGTAACAATAGCATAATTTTCTGTTAATATTAACAAGACAAACGTATCAATAGCATTATTCACTAAATAATATCTGTCAGTATTGTTATGTTTGTGATTATTATATGATTCTTCTATATTGTTTTGATAAAAAAAATATTTTGTCATCAATTATTTGAGAAATCAATATTATGACTTTATTTTGATTTATATATAGTGAATCACATTTGTAAAAATTGTTGAAAATGCTTATGCAATTTTGATTGTATTATAAAAGCAACAAAAGTGGAAATATTGAAAAATATTTATAATTAAATTACATCTACATTTCTAATGACGTGCATATTCTAGGTGTTCTGACTTATTAGTAAATAAAATATTGTAATAAAATTCGTATATAATCCATGTAGAATAAAAGATACAATTGTTATATATATATATATGGTTTTAAAGATTGAAATAAATTGTAATTTATTATGGCTGTGTATTTTCAGAATTATTGCAGATTTAATATCTTTAGCTAAAAAAGAAAAAAAATATATATTATAAATTTATATATATACCTATATATATATAAATTATAAATATATATATTTACACAAATTATAATCCTTTTAATTTTAGTTTATATATCAAAATTAAAAAGATATATTTACTTTACACATACATAGCGATATAAATAGTACAAGTATAAAATAAACAAATTTTTTATTTTTAATATATATATTGTTTGTAAAACGTTACTCATCCAACTTATTTAAAAATCGTTTCTTTCTATATATAAGATCAAAATTATATATTTATTATCTATAGAAATATTCTCTTTTTACATTTTATGTTCAATAAGATGCATTGTACAAGTAACGTAATATTTAAATACTTACAATGGTAAGTGTTTAAATGTACAATATTCACAATTTAGGGAAAGGGCTGAGGAATGCATAGAATATCTTTTTTCATTTAACCTATGTTATATGTATATATGAAGAACCTAGCTTTGTAAAAATCATTTTGCAACTGTTTCTTTTATCACAAATAGTAGATATGGATGATAAAATGTAATGATATAAATACATATAATTGATAGTGCCAAGTGTTATGCCAAGAACACTACAAAAATATAAAGAAAAATATGAGAACTGCGAATATTTTTATCATTAACCATCTATTGCTTGTTACAGACTGAAAGTATTTTAATATTTCAGTGTGTGCAGCTTCCACGTTTAGCTCGGTGTCTTCTATATTGCTATCTATCCTGTAAATTGTTTTACAATTAGAGATTTATAAAATTTTGATAATGGTAAAGTATTTTTACACAACTCTTAATTTATTTGGAAACAGACAAGAATTATAATTTTTTCTTACCTTTCAACCATTTCTTCTTGTTCCTTAACCATATGTGCCAATTGTTGAAAAATACCACCTAATTCAACAATAGTAGATTCTATATTTTGCATAGTCTCAGCCCTCGATTGGACATACGCATCCTGTAGAAAACATATATATGTAATTGCGATATTTCATATTAAATTTTTTTATACAATATATTAGATAACTTACAGTATCGTCTTGCATAGCTTGTTGCATTAACTGATGATTCATCATTGGTTCTAGATCTATTGCAACTGAATTACTAGAAACCTCTTCTTGTAGTAATAAAGAACCTTGTCTTCCCGAAACAACACTTGGAGGGAGCATTGTAGATACAGATCCTTGACTAAATTGTCGCCTTCTTTGTTGTTCCTCCCTCATATTCTGTGTATCCGTATAATTTTATGTATTTATTATCATTCATACAAACGTATCAATTTTTCTAATTTTCTATATTTTCAATTTCATATTCTTTTTTTAAAATATTTAATTAAAAGTATAATAATACAAACATTTAAAGAAATTTAAATAAAATGATTATCTGATTGTATATCTATACTATATTTCATCCAATTTTCGAATTTATATTATAAAATATTCTATAATCTGAGATAAATATGTGGATAAATACATATCTATATAAGAGAAAGAATGTAATTTACTTTAGCCTACCTCGGATCGAACTTCCAAAACACTTTTAAAATTATTTGACATATCTGCTAATTTAGATTGCAGTGCCATCACAATTGAGGAAGAATGCGAAGCAATATGGTGGCTTTGAGATGAACCAAAACTTTCTCGTTGTGATTTTCCAAGCTCTTGTAGTTTTCCAATTTGAAGATTCAGGCTTTTTAGGTCTGTCTTAATAATATTTGTAAGCTCTTCGATCTCCATCTGTCTGTCATTAAATATAGATTTCTTCTTGGCCACTGTAATATAAAGAAACAATAATTATAAAATAGTCTCAGTATTTTTATGTAATCTAAATCTTTTTCTTAAATCTAGTTTTACTATTTGTACTTATTTTTTTCTATATTCACTCAAATATTTTAAATGAGATTTAACGTCAACTATCAACGATAAGTATCTGGATTGATCTAAGATTTCTGAACAAAGCAGTTCAAGTTTTATTAATTATTAAACCTAAAGTTTAATAAATTTTCATATAAAAGAGATGGTTTTGAAACAAATAAGAGTAGATAAGCTCCTTTGCAAGAAAGATATATGATCCTTCTGTTTGTAACATATTTCCTTTGACATAACATATTGCAAATTGGTGAGTAAAGTAAAAAATCGCCGTAAGCGATTACACCACTCTCTCTCCTGTATATAAGATTCTTACACAGGGCAAGCTTCTCCAGCTTGGTGTACGTGCTGGCAATATTTTTGCCAATGTTCTTCGCTATCATCATAAAGTTCGAGTAGCTCTGTATCTGGCGCGCACGACGCGGATTCTGCAGATTCGCAGCGGTCCGCGCGACAGTTCTGCTCTGCATCGAGCGGATCGCGTTGGCAAACTCGTTGGTCCTGTCACGGGACGTCATCGTCGTCGTCGTCGTGGATCGCTCCGTTAAATCGGCGGTCTCCTCGTTCAACAATTTGTCGCTCGTTTCGTCTCCATCGTAATGATATCGCGAGTCGCTCGGGCTCGCAATTACAGAGTTGCGATCCACCACGTTTCCTGCGACGTGACGTCTGCGTGCTAACATCGCAGCATCCTCTCTAGGTTTCGTGCTCCACGTGCGGATCTCTCTTTCGCCACTGGGCCCGACGAGAGTTACGTCAACAGATTGGAAGCGACAACGACATCGGCGACGGACACGTCCGCATGATCACGACCACACATGACAGCTCGCGGACGCGATCACGTATTATACATGTACGTGATGCATACGTGACGTATACATACGTGCAATTGGGTCGGGAAAAAAGTAAAAGTCATGCGCACTGCGCACTCGCGGTTGTGACGTCGTCGCGCTTTTCACGCGACCGGAAACTCAAGGAGCGCGCGATTTTTTGAATCGAGTAGCTTCGCTACCTTGCGCGCGACATCTTGTACTAGTGAGATTTTGTGTAAATATTAAAATAAAAAATTAACGCCTTACTTATTGTTTATTATTCCAAACCGTAATTGTAATCATTATTCTGTATTTAAATATTGTATTATTTTAACTTACTATTGTATTTAAATATTATATTATTATAGATTTACTTGAAAAGGACCAAAACCTGATAGGCGAAACGTCGTAATAAATATAAAATAATTATAGCTAGTATTGGTCGAAAAATAAATATACCCTGATTTATTAATTGACTAACGATTTAAATTAATTATTATTATTATAAAAAGTTAATTAAAATTTGTATCACGTCTAGATCTTTAATATTTATTTTATGCGGTAAAATTATTTAATATTGAGTATTACTTGTTTTTTTAGAATGGATATAAAAAAATATATATCGTGACGTATTTTATAAAATTTATAATAATAATTGATAAAATTTATAACTTTAAAAAATTTTTATTACGTCTAGATCTTCAATATTTATTTCATATTTTCCTTTTTGAAAATTTTAAGCGATTAAAGACTTAATACTTTATTCATACATATATCAGCTATTTTTTATTAATATATTTTATAGATATACTCATTTATTTCTTTTAGATTTTTATACTATTACCTGATTTTAAAATTAAAACTCGGAGAAATCGCAGTGCAGGATACTTATGCATGTATACATTTACATGAATATATAAAGTGCGTTTATTATTAAATATATTTTTATTGGGATATATTCATTTATTTTATTGTATCAACCTTTATCTCTCTAACCAGTTTACAATGTAAGAAATATATAATATATATCTGTAAGTATATTAAAATCCGTAAATATATAAAACTACAGGAACGTATGTCTTTTTTTTTAATTATAAAAAGTCGCGATACAACGTTAGATCTTCTGTAAAAAATTTTCCCTGCCTTTGTAAATTGTTTACGAACATTTACTTCTGCGTATATAAACGTTTCATTACATAACTATTATTTCATATTACTTTTTCGTATACTGAAGACACCATTGTTAAAAAAGATGGGATTATCTGGGTGTACACAGAAAATATATATTTTTATTTAAATATCAATCTTGAAATTTTTATAGGATAAATATTTCCGCACTAGTTGCATAAATATATAAGGCAATATCTTAATGTTATACAACCAGTAATTAATATCTACTTCGCATTCGTATTTTTTAATGTGATACGTGACATGTTGAATTTACATAAAAATCTTACGCTCGATGAACGATCTGAATAAGTAATATAATCAATCAAGTAGAGTGCCGATTACAAAACTGTTCCCCTGTGAATAAATATGATCGTCAATCAATAAATTAACATATATGACTAGTTTTGTGTATCGGCATTTTCACCTTTGCTGTGCAGCATTGGAGTAAAAAAAATCGAATATTAATAATTATTTATTTTTAATTAAAAAAATATCAGTTTCTCAAATATTTTATTAGTTTATAAAAGAAAATATTTAATTCAAACATTATTTCATAAATAATCTTGCTTGCGGAATGTAGAAGCGCATTAAGCTTTAAAGCCCGTTAATGCTAACTCAATTTAATCGAAAACTTTAATTCAATTGAATGTTATGTTAATTCAAAGCTTTTAATCGCTTAATTAAAATTACATAAATTGTTTTATTTAATTAAAATCAATTAACTTTTTTTCAATTTATATATAATCCGTACATCTTCGTAAATACTATATCCAAGCTTATTTTTTCAGCGGCAGCAATCTCTTTAATTCTCTCTTGTTTCAAAAGGACGCAGGTAAACGTCGTAAACAATCAATCGTATTGAAAAAAAATATATAGAAAACAATAGAAACACAACTATATATTACAATAATGTTACTTTAATACGATGCACTCGGTGCGATATCGAAAAGTTATTCTACTACAGCCACGTAATGAAGGGTCGTTTCCTCGTCTTCGAACTTTAGCCCCGATACACCGGATTATATCGACGTATCGACTATGAACGACCGACCGCTTTTTTTAAGCGGTCAGTACGTCTGTTTTATTCGGTATCTCGTTGGCGAAGTCCTCGACCGTCTCAGCACTTCCTGTCGCTTCCACCTTCACCGTTGTCGGCTCCGTATTTTCGCCACCGATCTGTAGAGTGTCATTTTCCGGTTTCACGTCGATTATGCGAATTCGGAATGCGGTGCCGCCGTTTTCGTCACCCGATGTGTAAGTCGTCTCGTTGATCGTTACCACATGACCATTAATGATCTGCAATTAAATTATATTAGATTTAATATGTTTCCAAAGAAAATCGATCTCCAATTTTATATATAATTATATAAATTTTATATATAATTATATAAAATTAGAGCGCGCAAGAAAACTATTCTATCTATAATTAAAATATATATATAATTATTATAAATTAGTCGTAATCTTGGAAATTAATAGTAATCGGTTTAAAAATTTGTTAAAAATGTTTTGTTTGAAATATAATTAACTTTGCAATATATAATGAATATCATTATATATCCAAAGATAGTCCAATGTATATATACAACAGAGAGTCCCTCAGAGAATAAGAGCTGGTTTAGACAGGGGGTGCAAATAGGTTATTCGAACAATTTGCAGCTGTACAACCGACAAACGCATCATCAAAATTAATTAAGCTCTATTATTGAAGAATTTGCAACCGCCACGTTTAGAACATGACAGTACGTACGGTGGTTTATTCTGTTAACGAGGGGCTGTAGTGTGCTTCGGTTTGAATTATTAGAACCGCTTTATTTAGGCAAACTTTCCGTACCTTTCTACACGTGTATATGTGTGTGAAAGCACAATGAAGAAAGTATTTCAATTTAATATTTCTATATTTCTACATTTTTCTGACAAAATGCTAAAGCGCGTTTCATTTTCACATATTAAAATTTTCATGCGTTATTATACATCAGTTTTGTATTTTATATCCATATTCTTCAATGTTTAAATACCAATGTTTTTTTTAACTTTTACAAAATTTAACAATTTTTAATATTTCGATTATTATAAATAAATAAAAATTAAATATTAAAAAAATTTCAATTACAAATGATAAAAAATACAAAGTTGGTCTTCTGTCTCTCTTTTTTTCAATTATAGCTGATCATATTTTCTAAAAGAAAATAAAGGACAAATTTGAAAATTTTAGGGCTTTGTTTCAACATATGTCCAAATCAGTTTGCGACCAAAATAGAGATCAACGAGCAAAAAAAAAAAAAAAAAATTGTGACTATCAGAAGTCGACATATTCTTTAATTATTCATTATTTTATTTCTTCAAATCTCACGAATATTACGGCATATCATTAAAACGCTAAATAAAAAATATAGGAAAACATTTTAAAAATAAAGAACAAAATTGAGTTTTGGAAAAATGGATAAACTTAAAAGACAGCTACTTGAAATAAATTATCTTCTAAAATAAAGGACGGATAGTCACCATAATAACTAGCACACCTTAGAAAAGAATAAGCATTTTTTTCTCTTTTTCTTTTTTTCCCCTGTGTCTTGTATGGACTAAACGTGCAAACGACGGATTTCACACGCGAATAACGCGGTATCCGAGAAAGAAAATCGTCGACACTCGGCGAACTTTTTGGCGGTCAGTTATCCGCTTCCGTTCGTCGCGCTTTGTACGGCAAGTCGCATTAAGCGTTATAAGCGACTTACATACATATCAGAGGGAGATGGTGGCGCGCAGATTTCCACGCGTGTAACAATACGCGACGGGAAATGCAGTAATCCGATCACTAACACTGCCGTACACTTGCTATTATACCATTGTTAGGATATTTCCTCTCGCCCTCTCTCTCCATCTCGTTGCTGCAGTTTACACGTGTACGTAAATTGTTGGCGCATTATCTTCGCGACATGTCCGGCGCAGACGAGTTTCCTCGCGTGTCGACAGATTATTTTACTTCCTCCTTCACGGACAATGTATCAAAACTAGCTCGAAATTTATTGCTTTCGATTGCTTTCAAACGCAAAAATGTCCAACCCCACACAGAAAGAATTTTATCGTAGAATTTACCCTGAAAATCATGCTAAATTGTGGCATAAAATATGATATTGGAAGAATTCTTATATATAAGAGTTTCTCGGATTAATATTTATCATAATAAAAAGTATTAATGTCTACCACAATAAGATATAAAATATTCGATTAATTTTACTATGTACATATTAATATTTTTTATTGTGATAAATATTAATTAGAGAGACTTTTATAAAATTCTTCCAAATATCATGTTGTCCCATGATTACTATGATTTTCAGGGTAAATTCTAAGAGAAAATTCTCTCCGTGCACAAATGCAACATTTCGAACAATGATCGGCAATTATAAGAAAATATAGAAGCACAATAATTTATTTATAGAAGCATAATATTTTATTCATAATTTTATTGATGAGTTTATTAATAAATTCTAGAGAATATATAGCGAAATGTTTAATTCATTTATCGAGTATGTAATATGTTTACCTTAGTAGTGGAAGTTGTATTCGCTCCTTCTGGAACGTCCGTCAAAATGGGTATATGCCAGAAATAGTCCATAAAACTTTCCCTCATCCTCTTCAAAGCGTCTGAAAGAAAAAAAATACAGAAATGAAAAACAAGAGTATATATACATATAAATACACACGTGATAATTTGTTTGCGAGATTCACGTGAGAGTAATGTTTCTATAATTTTTATTTTTATTAATCTTGGTTTTATATTTGGAAATGTCAATAACAACGATTCGATAAAGTGCGCTTGATAATGCGGAATTAAATTTAAAGCGCTGACTGTTTAAAAAATATTTGTCAAGCATTTGGAAATGACGTGTTTATTAAGACCATGTGCGGTCGTTGGGTTACAAAATTGCGTTTCCATGATTTCGATTTAGGAAATGAAGCATTCCATGACAAATCCATTGATCCGAATCTAATGATTTATTTAAAAAATAATTCAACAAAATTCGTGATCTCGCGTCAATGTGCTGAATATTAATCAATCGATACACACACATATACATAATTTTATCTATTCATTATTTGATAGTCTACATTTTTTTCATTGCGGTCAACATCCCTCTTTTATTTTAGAGGACAATCCTTTATTTTACGTAGCTCTCTTCTAAATTTATTCATTTTTCCAAAATTCAAGTTTGTCAATTATTTTTAAAATTTTCTCCTTTATGTTACAACTTTATTCTTTATTTAGAAACAATTTAAAAAACTATTTAAGTATTTAACTATTTAACTATTTTTACTTTAAACTATTTAAAACTATTTATTTTTTAAAATCTATTTAAACTATTTAGGAAACAATATAGTCGAATCAGTTTCAAATTACAAGAAATACGTAGACTTTTGATATAGTCACAGAATTTTTTTGCTCATGGATTTATACTTTGGTCGCAAATTAATTTGGAAACATGTTGAAATAAAGCTCAAAACATTTCAGGTTTGTCCTTTATTTCCTCAGAAAATCTACGATCACCATATTGAAAAATACAGTCATGTTAGAGATTGCATTAAATGCAGTGCTCAAGATCGCGGCCTAATGACGATTGTATTTCGGACTTTTGCATTTCGAGTCATACATTTTCCGTCGTTGTTTCCGCCTAGTTACCGTTCCGTTTCATTTTAACGACCCAATAGTGCTTTATTGCGACTCGACGCGCGCACTAGTGTAGGTGAGTCAAGAGTCGAATCCTGGATCAAACAACACAAATGAGGGTATTAATACGTGTTTGCGTCTCTTTTCACACAATTCCCGCGAAAAGAACCGTGTACACATCGAAGAATCGCATTTCGAGAGCGAATGTAATAAACGACACTATTTAACAGAGTGCGTTTGCGCTACGCGAATTCTGTAAAATGCAAAATTATTCCTCTAAACGCGATCTCACAAAGGGATACATAATTAATACCATTAATTTTAATCTCGATGTAAGCGAACAGATTTTTTTTTCCTCGAATTTATATATATATATATATATATATATATATATATATATAGAAATAAAAAAATCCTCGTAATTATTCTCATTGGAAAATAATGCTTCCTAGAACCCGTTTTGTTTTCCTTACTTTACAATTGTATATCTCAGACTTCCTGTATAATTTAAATGTTCTTTATACAATATATAAATATTTATATATATGCAGGTGAGTATTTATATCTCTTACATGACTGCGAACTCGCATGTCGTTATGCAATTCCCGCGGTTCCGCGATAAGACGTCGTTTGGTGCGCGTTATAAATAAAATGGTGCTTGATGCCACGACCCAGTATTTCGTAAAATGTAATAATAATTTATGCTGTGATCGGATATATATATATATGCGGAGAGAAAAGGGGGAGAGAATACGTCGACCGTGCCGATAAATTTTGCATACTTTATTGCGCTTACAATGCGATTGCCGGAGTAAAATAGTCGACTGTATCGGCCGATTATTGCTATGTGGAATCTCAATGAGGACACGTCGGCTCGCCATATTATTCGACAGTGGCTTCGTTTGCATATTTAAAAAAAAACTTCGATAGACAGGAAGGGGAACAGGGCAACGCGACGCAGCATTCGCGGATACATTGCCGAAATCGGCACGTTACCGGCTCTTTGCGCACACGATAATTTTAATTAGCTGGCAAAACGGCCCGTTATTGTTAAAAACGACCGTCCATAAACGCTTATTTCGAAATTCGACGTGAGCCGAATGCGAAGCGCGGAATTTAACGAACACGCTGAATCGGCGAAAGAAAATTACGATATCGATTTCGCAAGTTTTTAGCGAGCAACAAGTAAAGTACAGTTTTATTATTATTATTTTTGTGCGGGAAAGTGTTAAAGGTAATCTTTAGAAGAAAAATATTTTGAAAAATGCAAATTTCGAAATTATATATATTTTCGATCGCAACGAGATTCGAGGGATTAGCTTATAACGTTACGTTCATTTAATAATGAGCTCTCATTTAATGACTATAAAACGAGTGTTGAATTGAAATCTGCGTTGTCAATTTTGTAAAATAAAATTGCCGCAGTTAATTCTTACAGTAATTTAAATTAGTGACATTATTATATCGCTATTGATAAATCTGCAAATTTTAATATAATCTTTCAATGAAATTATACGTATATGTATAATAATAAAATAATAAAAAATAAAAGTATAAAATAATAAATAGATCAATATACATAAAATTCATACAAAACTAGTAATTATTAGCTTTCTATATGATGATAGCAATATGCAATAGTTATATCTTATCGGTAGACGAATTTAAAATTACGAAAGCTAAAAAACCTGTCATCGAATCGAGTTTGACAGAAGGCCAACCGGTCTTAAAAATTGGGTGAGGCACATGGTCCATATATGTAAATTACATTTCACAGTCATGTCTTGACATATGTATATATAAAATACACATACTCATTAAAACATTTCAGCTAATGGATTAACCCAAGAATAAAGATAATAAGAACATTTCTATATACGAAATGTGCCAATATTAATATTAAAAAAATGTCCATAATAATTCTTTACGTAATACTTTTTTACATAATAATTCTTTGCATAATAATTTTTTTCATATTAATTCTTACATACTATTTGTACATTATCCTTCATATATGCAGAGAGAGAGAGAAAGGGAAAGAAGAAGAGAGAAATTTTGCATTCGCGATAATTTCGAGACACGTCTGATGCAAATCAGACGGCCGTTGTGACTGTATTAAATTTCAGATCGTTCGACAGCGCTAAAATAATAAATAGCTCGTGAAATGATCGGGAAATTGGCATCCGTAGGCTCTCGTGCTCGCGAATCCCTCGGGTCCATTTCCAGTCGGCCTCCCACGGCGCTGCGTCACGCGGATTTGAATAACGATTCATCGAGTCGCGCAATCAACGATTACTGTAAATTGCCCATTCGATGTTCGCGGTTGCTTTTGGCCCTCGGATTATGTATTATATACCGTCGACGGCGAATCGATTGGACCGATCAGCCTCTCTTTCTCGCTGCTTTTGACAGCGCGCTCCGATCTCTCTCTTTCTCTCTCTGCCGAGTCATTAAAAGCCTCTCAATAAGTGAAAGTGATCTGATAAACTTTGTACTTTCATGTGCCGACCTTGAAGCCACACGCGATCTTGTAGCGACCTTTATAAATAATTATTAAGTCAAAAGATTTTGCGTTACATCGTGTTAAGTAATATACAGTCGATGTTTCTCCAATTTTTGAAATCATGTATCTTTGTAACTAAGCCTTAAATTAAAATTCTATTAAAGTAAACTTTACCTGAAATTAACTAAAAAATGTAGTTTTGTTAATCATTTATTTTTCCAAGGCTTATTATTAGTAAGAGCAGTCACCCGAAAAGTGAAAGACGCGGGTTCGATTCCCACTTCAGCGACTATTCAGACCTATATTTTTCTCGCCTATTTTTCCATATGTAAGTTCGAGATTAATTTATATATGGAACTTAGTAATCTCAAACCAAGAGATACAGTTCCGAAGAATTAATTTTTCGCGCTTATTGGGCTCTATTGACCGATTTAAAAAATTTCATATTTATATTATTATTATTAATACTGAGAGCCGATAAAAATATTTCTTATCTGAGCTTATTATTGGTGTCTGGACATTTTCACTGAGGAAAAATCGTCTCCAAATTGCCTCAGGAATCTCCCATTAACGTGTAGGTTCACTGGGACGCAAAATCGTTTTCGACGATATTTCAGTCCAAGCCGCAATAATAATCAGGAAAACGAAACCCGCGCCGGGTTTCTCAATTAGTTTAATAACATTTCTAATTCTATGCAGCGGACGAGTGGCCTCCGATCTCGCACAGTCACTTCATCCGCCACTCTCGTTTCGCTCGATCGAGCAAAGCAGTAGTAATCAAAGCTTCTGACGTTGCGGTGACTTGTGCGTGTCTCGACTTGCAAATAGGCATACTACTGAAACTATCCGTCGTGCACTGCATTCCGCATGAGTGCCTATGGAATTTGATACATAAGATATACATCGTATGCAGTTATATGCACGCGGTTCACGAATTTATCTCCTTCCTTAATTCGCAGCCGCGAATCTTTGTGACTTGCGCTCAAGGATTTTATTCGCCCGCCAAAATTTACACTATTTTTTTATGACAAAAATATATCTGGACTTTTGTAAATGTACAGGTTGTATCTAAATAAGTGCGAAAAATTTTAGATGATTCTTTGTCCAAAATTAAGAGGGGTAGTTTCTTATATAAACATATACTCTTTATCCCTCCCTGAAGAGTTTATGTTTTCTAGAGAGGTAAAAATTAAGTTTTTAAAGAATATTAATAAATATCCTTCTTATTAGTGGAAAATATCCACCAATTTCATTTTTTTAATTTGTTCTGATAATAAAATTTGAGAAAAAAATTACATGTTTATATGAAGAAACCTTCTCTTAATTTTCGACAAAAAATTATCTCCTAAAATATTTCGCACTTATTTAGATACATCCTATTTATGTATATATTTTTATTGTATATTTCGTTTCTATATTTTTCTCCATTGTCACATAAATGTACGTATACATACAATAGCTTAAAAATGCAATATAAAATTAAAAACTTTGATGAATTATTCACAACGTCGATGATTATAAAATATTAAAAATTGTAAAACTTATTAGATTTTTCTTTGGTAATTCTTTCCTTCTCATAAATTCTTTCGATTAATTTCACCGTGCAAAATTATCGTGTTAAATTTATCTATCAGTTTATTAATTCATTAGTATATTAATTTGCTATATATACTTGCGCAATTGCGGCATTTAGTGCGCTATCTCGTAACATGTGCCGAACGAGAGACTGGCTCTTTGAAAATAGCAAAGGTCGCGCCAATTAATTCTCTTACGCGACCTGTTAATTTTCTCTGAAAAATTTAATTTTCGGCCACGCTTTAATCACGCCGCGCGCAATATTGAGCGAAATTTCAGGAGAGGAAAAAGGCTTTCTTTCCTGAAAGGATAGGTGGGGTATAAAAGAGATCGGCGTTAAAAAAAATTTACAATGACATTAAGCTATAAAACTATCAATATAGTTATAATACTCCGATATAATTTTACACATACACTTATACTACAATATTTGTTAAAAATACCTAGTAGTTTAAATAGTTCTAATATTTGAATCATGTGAATATATGAATATTCGAATTTAAATTATTATATTTAAATATAAAAAGAGAAAGAAAAAGAGAGAATGTCCAAATTTGTTTTTCTATTCTCTCTTTATTTTTAGCTTTACAGAGATTCGAATATTTTTAATTCAACACAGCAACAGTCGTGTAATTATATCGGACATACATTCATAATTAATTTAGTATATACATGTGCACACATTTACATATATCTATATTTAATTTAATTTTTAAATCCCCTTTTCTATTCAAAAAGAATGCCATCCTTTTATAGCGATGCACGATATTGACGCAGGTTACAGATTATATATAGCATATACATAGTTAATCTCACGTCTGCATTATTTCATCTCGTTACGAGCTTCGAGCTTAACATTAATATCGCGACCTTTACCTGGCTGCGCTACTTCGAAAGGCCATGAAACATGACGTTTATCGCGCCATGGATTTTATTCCGTCGAGTGTGCGACACATGTGCCGTCTACCTGTAGGGATCTCGGAATCACCTTGTTACAAATTCCACGCGATAACACCGTTAATCATGACGATCGATCGATCGACTACCTTCTTTTGTCGCGTGTTTTTGCGGCCGTGCAAACATATGCATGCACAAAGATATTTGTTACTAGCGATGTTACATACGCGCCGAATTTCGTCACTTGATGATATTCTGACAAAGGGGGTATCGCAGAATGACCAATATTTTGACAGATAGTATATAGAAAAAGATTTGGATCTGTATGATTTTTCAAATCTTGCGTGTCCTCAAAATGAACATCATGTGTTATCTCAATATATAATATTATCTCTGATACAAATCCAATACAATATTATTTTTGAAAATCAGACCAGATTTGACGCTAGATGTAGATATTTTAATATATTTCAATATATTTTTGAGATGGATAAATACACAAAAATTTTTTTTCCTAAGTGCACATGATTTTTACGTTCAAAAGAATTATTTCAACTTTCATAAATATTTTTGCCTATACCTTTTTAGACTGATTAATATTGACGTCAAATTGTTAATCACTAGATTTTCAAAGTTTTAAAAATACATAAATATACTTTTTTTTCAATATTAAATTATATTTTATAAAACAAATAAATTTATGTGTTATGTCTCCTAAACTGATTTGCTTCGCGCAATTTGTAGTTTTTTGCAATCTGATTATAATCGCGCCTGGCTAATGAGAACAATATTTTCTGGTAATCGTTTTCATTAGAGAATACTGCTACTACCCTGATATTATTCTTTTTCGCCGAGGAATATTATGAGTATAACTATGTATGTCGATTAATGGTATGATGAATGTAATCTTACAGCTTAAGCTGTTATAAGACATACATATTATTAATTTGTCAAAGTTGTCACATTTTGGAAAAGCATTTTTTAGGCTATCATACTATTCGGTTGTTATTCATGTAAAATTTTTACTTATTCGGATGCATATTCGGCGTTTGATGCATATTGTTTGAGCTTTATAAATATTTATAAAACGCGTGTCGCGCGCGCGAAACGCATGAAAATATTTAACGAGAATTTTGTTAAATATTAGTTAGTAAAAAAATAGGAAAATATACATTCGACGGCTTTTTCACTGCTCTGTTTATTCACTTGCACTTCGTGTAGTTCGAGTTCGATAAAAAAAAAAAAAGAAGATAAACAAGTTTCTCAAATGCATTCGGTTGCAATTGCACGACTGTAACGTGCATTTATATCTTTTAGAAATTTGCTTCAATACATATAACAGAAATGCGAAAGTGTTACATATCAGCATACATATGTATTTATCTATTCTTTTATTTACGTTTCCAGAAGCCGAAATAAGAAGAAACAAGATAAAACCTTAATATCGAAACTATATCTTCTCTTTTCGGATTTTAATTTAAAATATTTAAAATTTTTATTTAATTTTATAAATTTTACACTTTTATAAATTTTATAAATTACAAAAAAATTTTAATTATATTATTATGAAAAACTTATATAATAATAATTAAAAAAATTATATTTAAATAAATTATTTTTGTAACTAAATCTTAAAATATATAATTAAGAAATTAAAAAATATAATTTTACATTTGACAAAATAAAAATACAAATAAAAATAATATAAAAAAATATAAAATTGAAAAAAGAAAAGAATATACATTGATTTAATTTTTCATATATAAAAACTATATAGCTTGATGATTATTTATTATATGACCGATTAAATATGTACATGCATGTGTATTTTCGCTTTATAATTAAAAAATTATTATTTATAAATTTTCTAATAAAATACCTCGATATATTTTATTTAACGATTGTTCCGTCTTTTAAAAACGTCCCTTTGTTTGAGCTTTACCTACATATTTCACATTAAAATACATATAAATTTTGATGATGATGTGGCTGTCTATACATTTCGGGTTTATTATTTTTCGACGAGAATCTTGTTGAACGTGCGTTCAAATTATGTTAAATGCGGATATCCAGTTTCGCATGCGGATTCTCTTAAATGCGATCATCGATAATGGTCAAATGGCGATGCATTGTCAGAGTGCAGGCATGGCCTACAGGTGCGGTATCGTTTCGCGATAGATGTGGAGCTCGAATTGTTGCGTACGAGAGTGACGTGTAGCACGCACGCGCTCACACACGAATAAGCAAGTCATTAGCCGCGAGACATTATTACTGCAGTCGTATACACATGCACACACACACATACACACACACACACACACACACACAAGTCGTATATATGACGCATATCGCAGTCGAGCTGGTTTATGGGAGATTGTTGATCATCCTAGAGCGTAGAAGAGCGGAAGTTACCTTCCCGTAAAGCGGTGCGATAATCTGTAGAATACGCGCGGAGTGCCACAATACTGATTCTACGCATCGTCAAAGCGAATATTTGAAAGCCCGATTATTGTTATCTGTTTAGAGGAAAGAAGAGGCACATATCTATGTTTAATGCTGATTCTATGCATCGTCAAAGCGGATATTTGAAACTCCGATTATTGTTATCTGTTTAGAGGAAAGAAGAGGCATGTAACTACGTTTAATAGTGCTGATTCCATGCAATAGAATATTTCGTCAAAGAGGATATTTGAAACCTCTATTATTATTATCTATTATAAATCTGTTTGTACGAAAGAAGAGGCGTATATATCTATATTTAGATTGTGCGAAAAAACATTTTTTTTACCTCTTTTCTATATAATTTTTATTTATAGGCAATTTAGCAATTTATTTCTTAAACTCAAACGTTCAAAGTTATTTTTTAAAAATATTTTACATTTACGTACGTATATGAATTTTTATGCAATAATGTATATAAAATTTCACAAACAAAAAAGTTTAATGTTTTTTATAAAACAATTATATGTGTACGTGTTTCTCGAGTAAATACGTGAAAAAAAATTATTTTCGAATATTAAAAGTTATTATCGTGAAAAATATATTCAAATACTGCGAAACAATGTGAAATGAAACGAAATGAAAATATCGAATAAATAATGATCGATTTTCGAACGATATTAAATAGTCATTGATTAGGCGATCGGTACGTGAACGTTGCTAACCGAGTCTCGCTACGAGTGAACGAGAGAACACACGATAATTGGTAGACCATAAACAATACCAAATGTCCATATAGGCGCAGACTGACGGAAGTTACGCTCAGACAAACCGCATGTAAGCGAAATACGAGCCTGACGCCCGCGATGCAATCGTGGATGCGCGTTGCATTTCCGGTCGGGCCGGTTAGTGCGATGCGTGCGCGATATTTGCGCACGCCTCTATGATCCACACCTGTCAGTAGCAATACGCACAGGCCGTTTGCGTTTGCGAATTTGTGTGATTAGAGTGCAGGAACACGAAAGCGTTAATGAAAATAACGGGATGTATTTCGCACCTATATTTAGCGCCTGATTTTCCTACGCGACAGTCTCTGAAATAACCTGTATTTTCCGCGCGCATACATTGGATCATTATAAAAATAACATTCCGATGTTCATTACACAGTTATCTTAAACACAGTATTTATATATCGGCCGAATCGAATTAGTATTTCCGAGCCACATTTAGAGTGACACGGGTGCAATGGAGATACAAACGAACGTATTATTAATGAGAATTTATAAAGATGTATATTTTCTTTTTAGTATATTATTCTCTCCCTTTCTACTCAATTTCCCAAATATATACTTTAGTTGACTTTAACTGCAGAAAGCGTAATGCAGTGCAGTTAAAATGATAGATTCTATTATCGAAAATCGAAATATATCTACATACTTGGGGATAATTATATTGTAAATGCATATATACATACCAGCAAAGAAGTTCGCGTCCGGAAAGCTGAACTCAAAACTATCAAAATCCTCCAATGAGTCATCATCGCGTCGCGCACCTGTAATAAAAATAAGATTATTAGTGATTTTTTTACAAAAGAATAACGTATTCAAAAAATATCTAGAATACTCCAATGTATAAAATTATATAATTCATAATAACTTGATCCATCATTTTTCTTCAAGCAAAAAAATTAAATTTTTATTTTTCTTCGAGATATATATAAAATAAATATGTATGTAATTCTTTTTTGTGAGTATAAATAATAATCTATAATACATAAATAATATCTGTTATAGTATAATAGCATATCGTATTTATTAATTAAACTTTTAAATGATTTTTTAGATTCATCAAAATATTATATTTATTAATACATAAATAATATCTGTTATAGTATAATAGCATCATATTTATTAATTAAGCTTTTAAATGATTTTTTAGATTCGTCAAAACATTATATTTATATTAATGTTTTAAGTTAATAAATTTTTATAAAATTAAATAATAAACTTCTTATTTTTTACAATTTATTAAAAATGATGCTATATAAAACTTTATTCACGTATTTGTCGTAGCACTGCGGCGTTGCAACGATGTGCACAAGGAAAAGTCATAATCGCTCGGGCAATTAGACGCAGAATAACCGTTAATTACCCTATACGTCATCCGATCGAGATAGTGTGTTCATGAAGGATTATTTCGATCGAGTTATCGTTTGATATAACTGATCAAAACTGCTATGCAATAAATATAAACGCGATTTTTTCTAATTTTTCGAATTTAATAATTTTATTCTTAATTTTTGCAAACATTACGTAGATATTAGATAATTTTATAAATTTTTGTACGTTGTTACTCTCCTACAAGAAAGTAGAAATGTTGTATCGGGAAATATAAAAAATATTAATTTTTCAAGCATTACCAGATGAGAATTAAAAAGTTCGTCGCGGTGATATCGAATAACGCGCAGACGGTGAGAAAATATATACGTATAAAAAAATCTACGCATTGAAGAATGAAAGGCAAAGGGGAAAATCGAACGAGGGCGAAAGTGACAGCGATGCGAGGATGATCGAGAGAACAAGGACATGCCAACGCTCGGCGTAAAATCGTCGCCGCGATCGCGATGGCGTTTCCACCGATTATCCAATTCGGTCTTTGTCAATTAGCATTGACGGACGGGGAGTGTAGGTGTCAATTTCAGTCAATCTATTCCCCTTCTGCATGCAAGAAGCGCAGTGACGTGGACTCGAGAAAACTCGCGAGCGCGAGCTGAAAAACGCAGCGAAGATTGATAGAACGCTCTGACGAATCGCGTAAAGGACCGACCTTATCGAATCGCATTCGCGGAGAAATCGATTCTCGAGTACGTGATATTAATTCTTATTGAAAACGGATATGTATGAGTCGGGGATAAAATTGTTAATTTCGAGTGATTGATTAAACGCACCGCGCGCATCGATCGCGTCTCGTAACAGCACAAATTTTCATCGCGCAAGGGATTAATAATATGAATATTACGAATTTTTTTGTGTGTGCTACATGTATTATTGCACGTTGATAAATAGTGACGGTTAATCATTTACCGATATTGCTGATTATTACGAAGTAGCTATATGCACCTTAATTAAACGAAGATTTATATATAGAAACTTTTTATTATATTGCGAACATTTTCTGCCGGTTAATTAATATCTGGTCTTCTGCAGTTACACGTGTCTATATATATATATATATATATATATATATATATATATATATATAGAAATATATAGATTAATATATAGAATAATAGAGAATATATATATATTAATTGCAAGATTAATATAATAAATGCAAATATATTCATCTATATACACATACAAGTTCTATCAAAATTAATAATTTTTATTAATATATATATTAATATATATTAATAAACAAAATATTAATATTAATATTAATAATAATATTAATAACAAAATTAATATATATTAATAAATATATATAAAATGCAATGAAGATTTATATATAGAAACTTTTTATCATATTGCGAACATTTTCTGCCGGTTAATTAATATCTGGTCTTCTGCAGTTACACGTGTCTATATATATATATATATATAAATATATAGATTAATATATAGAGTAATAGAGAATATATATATATATATATATATATATATATATATTAATTGCAAGATTAATATAATAAATGCAAATATATTCATATCTATATACACATACAAGTTCTATCAAAATTAATAATTTTTTCTGTAAATAATTTTCAATTTATATACGCCTTATAAATTGCGCAGGTTTCTTCATGATTACGGTCCCTCCCTCCCTCCCGCGATGGATATTTCGCCAGTAAATCTAGTTGTCCAGCACGAATGTGCAAATTCCGCGTGATGGATGTAGGATAGCGGCTGAACGGCCTGCGGCGCCGTGCCGCGTTCACGGATGTTGTTCCCTTGAGAAATTTCCGCGCCGGATCGATCTATCGGGCCCGCTCGTTTTTTATACTTTCCACTTTTCTTCATCCCCTTCCCGCCACGCAAGCGGGCTTCTTCGAGTGACATTAGGCAGGCTTAATGCGATATCCCGGCAAAAAGGGAAACACGTACGTCGTAAGCGCGAAGCCGCGTCGCGACTGCCATTGACTGCAGAATGAAATAGAAGTTTCCCCAGGGGCGAATGTTGGCATCTCGCGATTTAAGTTCACCTATTCCTCGACATTCCCGACCACACGGGAGGATAATGAAATATAGGGGCACGTTGCGGCAAGTGCTCTGCTTTTTTTTCTTTTTCTTTTGATTCGCAAGTATTTTCGGCCAAAATATTATCTCGTGCTAAATAATTTTGAGGAAGAGAACCGTATCTGATGTATAGATCCGCTCCTGAGGGATGCACCGTTTCCAGAAGCATTCTCCTCTAAGCGGTTGGCAAAATTCCACTTTTTATGAACGGACCATCGTGCAGTTGACAAAAACAGATATCCTTTAGCGGCGAAATGACGAGTATCGTCAGATATTACCGCGGCATTATTCTCGAATTATCGCGCATTTGGATTCTAGTAGGGTTGAAATGGCTCTATTATAATCGGAAGTGTCTTAAATGTCTCTATAAATTTTTGTAGAATTACAAAAATAAATACATATTTTAAAATTAGCTAGATAAAGATGAGATGAAAATGTATAAAATGTGTAAATTTATCTTATTGTTAGATAAGATCAAGACACGATTTTTTAAAAATATATCTAGATAAAAGATCAAATTAAATGGCGATTCATCTAAATAACTTCCAGATAATATTATTTAACACAGTTATAAAAAAAAATATAAATTACAAAAGGGATAATAAAAATATGTTCATAATTTTATTTGTAAGTTCTTATCGCTTACTGCTTAAGTATTTTTACATGCTATGACTCTAAACCAAATTGCTCGAATATTATTCTAGATAATTTAAGAAACAATTTTTTTTATGCATCTTACATAAGATGACGCCAAGATTTTATCTAGATGATCATCTATATAATTTTATTTAGATAACAGCAAACGCTGCATATATCACAAAAAAAAAGGATTATAATTTCACGGCTAATAGTCGGCAATTTGTGGATGATTTAAAATTATGACTGAGGATTAAGTTAAACTGTGTGTGAACTGTGCGACTCTTTTGTTTTTAAAAGTAATAAACTATATTTCGAACAAGGAGCACGGCGATGGAGATTCGGGATATCCAATCGTCGTCGGTGGCTTAATTGGAATGCTTGCCAATTCGATCGACCCAACGTGCAGCGTTTCGATATAAGGCAATTACAGTAATTGCGGCAAAGTATTGGTAGTTTCATGGAATATATGCGTGCATATACAACGAACCTAACTGCATACTGTTGATGGTGATGGTATTATACTAACTGACATGGAATTAGTAATTAGCACTTAAACATCTAGCTTGGATCTGTCAACTTAACGAAAACTTGGCAAAATTTATTAACAGAATTTGACACTTAAAGGAAAAACTTGTCCTCTTTTCGTCCTCACGCTGAGAAAAATATTTGTCGACTTGACTAAACCTTTCAACTAAATTACCATTTTGTTAATTTAACATATATTGATATTTAAGTCAAGATATACGTTTCGTTAGATTTAATATGTTACATTTATAATTTAAATATTTTTATATGTTTAATTAACAAAATAATATTTAATTGAAAGGTTTAGTCGAGTCAATAAATTTTTTTCAGTGCTTAATATTAAAAAGAAATCTTAATTCAGAGTAAACATAATTTGAGAACGCTCTATAGAGCAGCAATTACTGCGATAGATAATGAAGTCGTCAATCAAATGCAATATTAATCTGATTTATTGAAATTGACATGAATAGATGATGATTTCTATTGTTATTGCGAGCGCTATCTCTCATATCCTCCTTCCTCTCTCTCGCTCTCTATCTGTTTATCTGTCTATCTCTATCATATACATATCTATTAATATTATAAAGATTATATATTTTTGAATAAGTAGAAAATTTAGTAAGAATTTGTACGTTAAAACCGCTATGAAATGAATATAAGTAATAATATTAATGATAGTATAATATTAATGATAGTATAATATTAATGAAGTGTTTAACCGATTTACAGAAAATTTGAGCATTACAAATACTCAATATTTATAACGGAGATATTATTGGAGTGCTTGTTTGTGAAAACCTCTTCATACATATATATATTCGAACGATGCAAATTTGCCTGGAGAATACGTATTTATTTTACTTGATTATATAGAGATAATCTGCTTTTATATATATATATATATACATATATATATATTTAGAAATATCTAGTGTTTTTCTTTTTTAAGATTATTTCGCTCAAATAGATTAGTCTGAAAAAAAAGGATATAGCGCGATTTATATAAAAAAAACCTCACAGTAAATGTTTTAAAATAAAATTTTCTTTTACATGCAATTGCACAAACCTGTTTGCTCTCTAGATTAAGCAAGGTTTCTGTAATTTGATTAATTCTCTCAAACTTGCTCCATTTCGATAGACTTATATCAAGCTT